TTTTGAAACAACTTCAACTACAATGTTTTTTAAGTTGTCGCTATGTATTGGACCATCTTTAACAAAATAACAAATCGGAATCTTCCAATTATGTAGCAAGCCGCGCATCATGAAAACCAGACCTGTGTTGGCAAGTTTGTTTGTTCTTTCTAAAGCACCTAAATCTTGAAACCCTTCTATAATGTCATCTAATTTATTGTACTCCAATTGTTTTTTTAAAGAAATTTCATCAAACATTAACACACACATTTTTTCCCACTCATCCATTGTCTCTGCTTTTTTCTTCAACTTGTCAATTATGGAAGTGTTTAAACCAGTTCTTAGTTTTATGACACGCAACCAAGTTTGAATTGTTTTTACTGAAGGTAATATAAAGTTAAGAGATCTAATTAAAAATTTGTAACAACTAGGAGACTTGGCCAGAGCTAAATCCTTTTCATTGTGACGCCATTGTGAACGAGTTTTGTGTAAAAACTGTATATTAACAAAAGTGTGCACGTATTTACTTTAATTTTCTAACAGTACCTGTAACATCAATTTGGTTGCAGATTTTCTGTTTTTTGCTGTTCTTCTACAACGCTGATTGTTTTTCTGACGGCACGTCTTCTTTAAAGCATTTACTTGATACTCCAATTTTTTTACCTTCTCCGTCATTTTTTTACCTTCTCCGTCAATTCAGTTTCAAGTTTTGTGGGCAAATTAATTTCAAAACTGGATATATCACTAAGACTACTACTTGATCTCTTAGGCGATGGAGTTGACCTAATTATACAATCGCCACTTGTAGATCTTTTACGTTTCGTACTGCAATAAACGTATGTAGAGCATACTGGTGGGGTATCACATAAAATAGGTAATCATTGAAATGTATGTGTAATTTTAATTAAAGCAAAACAGGCATCTCCATTATACCATTTTTCATATAAAAAAAGCTTGCACGTCATTCAATATTTACGTTGTCAGTACCCCACAGCGTTGCAAAACATCAGAATAGTTAGTAAGTGAGAAATTTTTAAAATGTCAACTATTTGTCAAACTATTATATTAACAGTAAATACACTTAGTTTTGAGACTACTGCAACATATTAAAATACATAACAAAAAATTTTGATACAAAATTATGTATTCTAAATTTTAAACTTACCTCTTTTAGGGATTTAATAGTAAAAACCTCTCGCCGTTATTTCCTGTTCAAAATAATCTATCTTATATGAAAGATTATCAGCTTTCTACAGACTATTTATTTGTTTTGGCATATCACAATCACAATACACAACAATAGTTAGTTTTTAAAGCTATTAATCTATATTTCATATGTATTATATAAATACAATTTATTAATATATATATATATATATATATATATTATATTATGATCAAATTGTGTAAGAAATCAAAACATTGTGGTAGGAAAATTTGAACTCTAAGGTTGATGTTCTGGAAATTTTAAATACAAGTGACGTCACTTTGTATAAATCGTTATATGCAAGTGTTTTACTTTGAAAAATGGTATATTTCTGGAGTGATACTAACAACGCATTCATATTTTAAAAAAAATTTTTTTGATTTAATTGTATAAAGATGTAAATAATTGTAAACATGTTTCACTGCAAAATGATGCTGACAAATTACCCTCTGTTTTAGGTCACTGATATCCATCAATATAATATCAATATTCCCGCAGTTTTTTTGCCAAATTTTTGTGCGCTCTACGTCTTTCACGGGAAATTTAAAGAAAGATATATTATTATTTGTTCCATCGTTTCTTTCAAAACATCCTGCGTAAACACATTTATGCGTTACACAGGCCATTTTATCTAAAATGTGAGTCCTTTTTTTATAAAATTTCGCTATAACTTGTCACAACACTAGACACAGATAATACACTTATAGAGTAAGTTCGGCCCTGACACCACTCCTATCTCTTCGCAAGTCAGAGAGAGAATGAGAATCTCGATACGGTTTTCGAGTAACGCCATCTAGTTTTTAATACGTCTTTCGGTTACCACGAGGTGAGCTATCTAGGTAGTGGTTTATAATCAATGTATTTAGGTAGTAAGAGATTTAAGAACAATTTTTTAGGAGGGAAGATAAGATTACTACCATTATCGTAAATGCTTTGCATTTCATCAACCACACGATGTATTTCGGGGACCACGCATAGTTGAGGTTGAAAATGGATAGGATAATTGAGTGTAAAAATATTTTCTTCTTTAGTGAATTTATAGAAAACAAATACTTAATGCTCTCCTTGTTGAACCTGGTAATTATTTTATTATTTGTTTTATCTAATTATTTGCTGTCAAATAACTATGGTCAGGAATACTCCAGTCCAGTCTGTCTATTACACCATTACGTATCTGCCACAGATGTTGGTCGTTTTATTATCCAAAATATCAAAGTATATTTTTATATGAGGTATGCATTAATAATTTTGCTTCGTGCAGACTCGGCAACAATATTTTATTTATTTGTTAGTAACGCAGCGTTTCCCAATAAACATTTTTAATGTCTTATTTATTGGAATTTTGTACTTGGCAACACTGGTTCACCACGTCTTTAGTGATTCTGGTTGTCACCATTCAATTGTAATCCTATTTTTTTAGAATATAGCACATGTTTACTTTTTAGTTCTTCTGTAAAATAAAGTAATTAAATAATTCACTTTTAACTCTTAATTACCATCACTGGGGAACAACAAGTTCTAATAAGTTATGGACACCCTGACAGACAAGACATGGGCAGTAGTCTTACCAAAACAAAGCAAATTAAAAAAAAGCGCACAACCTTGTATAATGATATTTTATACAGGAGCTGGATATAGATTAGGGAATTATGAAACTAATGAAATTTTTTGTTCGAAAGATGTGAGAACTAAAAAGCCAAAATAGTAGCCAAAGGTTTTTAAATTAAGGAGCAAAGTGAATTTGAAATCAGACAAATTTATAAACCAACTGCATTTTTAAATACATTACTTGAGAATGATGTCTATATTTATGCACCAGAACGACTTCCCATAAAAAACTCAAGATTATTAAGATTTAATCGAACTTTATATGGCTTAAAAGAATGATCAAAGGTATGGAATAATACATTCAAAGAATTTGTTAAAATAATTTTGAAAGATCTATGTATGATTGTTGTTTATACAATAACAAAAAGGTTTGGATATTAATATATGTAAATGGTATATTATTAATAGGTGCAGATAAAGGTGTTAAGTGTATTATAAAAATATTACAAGATAGTTTTTAGGCAATAGATTTAAAGAGAGTTAAAAATTTTTAAGGTGTGAGCAATTGAACATTACTAGAACAGAAGACACTATTGAAATTAATCAAAAAAGATTTATGGCAAAAAATTTTAAATTTGGAAGGAATGTAAGCCAAAGATGACTCATATGGAAAAGCGATTTCAATACATTGAGAACAGTAAAACTCTAACTAATATTCCTTGGAGGCAATTAATTGAATGACTGATATATTTATCAACAACAAGTAGGCAAGACATTAGTTCTGTTCATTAGTAGTGTTGATAACAACTCAAATGTTTTTATCAACAGGTCCTCGTAGACACTTCGTCTCAGGATCATTTTACTCATGTAGAGTCATATGCCGCCATGTTACCTATCCAACGGTAACTTAACCATCACAAATTATAAATACTAATAATGTAAAACAACTTCAAATTTAAAACATTTAAAGGGTTTTTACCCATATATTTTGGTGGCTACTAGCATGTACAACCGTTTGCACTGATGATGGATTGTTTAATCCGAAAACGTTTTGCAATGTGTTTGTGATAGCCCGTTTGAGGCATTTTTATATACATTTTATAAAGGATTTTAAACAAAATTTTTTTTTAGTTATGCAGTATCATACTTGAGCAGATTTTTAGATTGTCCTACTACAGAGACATGGAATGCTGGAAAAAAATTTTAAGATATCTACAAACAAGGAAGTAAAAAACTGGGATTAACTCATTATAAAAAAACAGATTGTCAGATAACACTTAATGAATATTCAGATGCCTATTGGGCAACAGATAAAAAAGATAGGAAAAGTATGAGTGGATGTATATTATTAGGTATATGGTATAATAATAACCCAGTATCATGGTTTTCAAAGAAAAAAACGGTGTGGCACTATCAACAGCAGAAGCTGAGTACATTGGTGCAGCACATACAGCTTAAGACCTAATTATAGTCAAGAGTATACTGGGAAATTTTAATGTAATTGTCAAAACAATTTTATACTGTGACAATAAAAGAAAAAAATTTGTAATGGATTATATATCAACTGAGCAAAATTTAGCTGATATGTTTACTAAATCTTTAGGTGCCGAGAATTTCATAAATTTAAGAAATAAAATTTATATTATATGAATTGTAATAATATTTTGTTAATTATCACAGTTACGATTTTAATGTTTCAACATTTCAAATCTAGGAAGAGTATTAGAATTTTGTACTTGACAACACTGGTTCACCATGTCTTTAATGATTCCGGTTATCAACTGTCAATTGTTTTTCTATTTTATTAGAATGAAGCCCATGTTTAGTTTTTAGTTATTCTGTAGAATAAAGTAATTAAATAATTCACTGCTAACTCTAAATTACCATCACTAAGAAACAACAAATTCTATTATTATTGTTCTAATAACAGTATTAATTTAAACAACGACTTTCGCAGTATGGAACTTTATAGGTCTCAAGCTCCCCATTGTCATATACAAGATAATGGTTTCTCGTTTTATATAGATATTTGGATATTGTCTCTTGGAATTGCGCAATTATATGTCGTTATTTTTTTCTCGGCCCAAATATCTTGCTGTCAACTGGAAAAATTCTCCTGACCCTTTACTGCAATTTTGTATTTAGAAGATGATTCTATTCTAACTCTTATCCTCTCTGGATTTTTATAAAATAAGATGGCAATATATGTTTAAAAAATTTTATTTAGGTAACTCGATATGATTTGTAATATATTTGTATTCTTTAGTTTATATGGCCCCATGTATGAAGGTGTTTGAAAGAACTGAAGTGTCATATGGATATATTAAATGTTTAGAAGATTCTTCCAGAAAAACTAATGACACTGCTAGAATTCCAAACTCTGTTGACCAGTTTTGCTCGTAAGTATTGAAACGTTTTTTAAGATAAATGTCGTATGCAGTAAATTATATTATATAATAATTAAATTATATATATATATATATATATATATATATATATATATATATACACATATATAACAGACAGTTGAAGATAACCGGGAACGACCCAATACTAAGGAAGCAATAAAAAACGGGTCCTTCTAAGTGAGTGTCTATTATTAAAAGTCAAGCTTTCGCCACATAATTTTGGGCTTCACCAGAACTTGCTGTAATGGCAAAACATTCTTTACAATCATCATAATGAAAGATGTTATATTTAATATTACCTTAATGTTGACACTATCTCTTAATGTATAATATTATCGATGTGGAACTGCACATGGTTTTAAAAACAAACCAGTCGCATCTTCTAACTGGAGGAAAATGGCAAACAAAACCTTAATTAAATAAATTTAAATTTATTTTAATAGTACCATATAGCCGGCATTTTTTAAAAGACAATTGTTAATTAAGTGATCTGTCCTTTCGACTATCAGTTATCGAAACAGCAGCGGTCTTAATCACTAGTTACGCCACTGGATTCCACAGAATCTGCACATTGTAGGACAATAGAAACTACGCAATACTATATTATAAATAAAGGGGCATTTCAATTACGATAACTTTTGCTTCATAGTTTTTGTTTAACTTCTGTTTTAACTTCTGTTTAACTTCTGTTCAACTTTTGTTTCATAACTTTTGTCTACATAATTTGTAAATTTGTATTTTCGAAATAAAATAATTTTTAAAAACTCGTTTTCGGAACTCAAAGTTATAATTGGCGCAGTCAGTAGGATACGTGCGGATCGGAAAAGAACATTTTACACATCAAGTGATAGAACTTTTTCGGTTTTTGGTGTTTCAACATCGTAGTGCGTATCCAAATCGAACCTCTACCCTACAGTGGTATTAACGAGAAGAAGCAGAGTTCCAAAGGAAGCAGAAGTTCGGAGAAGAGAAGCAGGTGCTCCAGATAAACTGTAAGTGCCTTTCCTTTTCGCCTTTCCTTTCATATATTTGTGAGGATAGATAGATTGATTTTTGAATTTTTTTTCAATAAGAATACTGATACTTTTTAATTTTTTTGAATAAGAATACTTTGTAACTGAATAAGAATTTTTATCCATTTTTTTATACATATTTATGCTATTGAAAATATTTATTTTTATTGAATAATTTATTTTAAATATTTGACAAATATTTATATTGCATATATATTATTTTTATAAAACATATTTCTATATAATTTGGTGAGATATTTTGACAAATAATTTTATTTGAAAATATGGCTACTGCAACTCAAACTCAAACTCAAACATAAACTCAAACTCCCCTTAACTGGGATTTTCTCAAGTCAAAACTAAAAAATATTAAACCCTATGACGGAGATTCCAATACTCTTAACAAATTTATTTTAAGATGCAACGAACTAATACAAACATATTCTGTATATAATGATGCAGATTTAAATAAACACATTTTGGAGTGCATACAAGACAAACTAGTTGGAAAAGCAGAAGCACTAGTAGGAAACCGCATGGAACTAACGACTTGGAATAGTATAAAGAGAGCATTAGAACAATGTTTCGCAGATAGACGTGATTTAGACTGCTTAATGCAAGAACTAACACGAACAAAACCATTTAAAAATGAAACACTCCATAATTTTGGAACAAGAATTCAACTATTAAGAAGCAATGTAGCCCAAAGAATAAGTAATGATACTAGTATAGAGCATGCAGATAAATTATGCCAAATTAACCATTGTGATAAAATCGCACTGAACACTTTTATTGCAGGATATACAGGTGTTCTTAAAAATAATATGCACCTTAAGAAACCCAGCTCTCTTGAAGATGCCATTGCATATGTCGACGAGTTTCAAAATTTTGAAAATTTATATGGACATTCTAGTAATAATTTTCCAAAAAATAATCATAATCTTAAGTCATACAATTCCTTTAATCCATCTAACAGGCCAACTCAGCCTAGCAACAATTATCGTCCCCAAAATTTCAATCCCACGCATCAATATCAAACAAATCCTAATTTTACATATCGAAATCAAAACCCTTTCAATCCTAATTTTACATATCGAAATCAAGGTTATCAAAACCAAAATTCTTTAGCTACCCAACATTCTCAGAACCATTTTACATCTCAGAATCGTTCCGCAAACTTCCGACCAGAAAGTAATGTATTCAGGCCCAACCGAATTTCTAATGATCGGTTACCCAGGCCACAACCTATGTCAATAACATCTAGAAACACATTAAATTCAAACGCTAGATCGAATTCCAATAAATATAATAATTATCGGAGAAATGATTTCCCTAGACGAATTCCTGATACTATAGCCGAAGAGCTATACACAAATAATTATCAAAACGAAAATAATAATCTAAGAGAACCACAACACGAACAAGTCAATAGCTATTTTAGAAATTCTGAGTATGATTTACCACAAAACGGTCAAGGAGACCAAAATTTTCAGATAGAAGCCTCGGAAAGGAAACAGTCAATATAGAAATAAATTCAAATAATCCCCTACCATATATTGAAGTAGGAAATTCAAAAATAAAATTGCTGATTGATACCGGTAGTGCCAGGTCTTTGCTACGACCAAGTATCGCCGAAAAATATTTTCCTAATTACATATACCAGTCAAATGTAGATATTATAACTGCTCTTTATACTAAAACTATTAAATATCAAGCTGAAATACCAGCATTTCCAGAATTTGGAAGTGACTTTTATATTCATTATATCTTATATGATTTTCACGAATATTTCGATGGAATCTTAGGATTAGAAGATATGATAAGAATGAACTTAGTTATAGATTTTACTAATAAACAACTATATAATAACAATGTAACGATACCGATTAAATTTAGAGGACCAATGGATATTAAATTTGAATTTACTATAGGTGCACAGGGAAGAATGCTTTATGCTCTTCCTGTCAGTATACCTAATGGAGAAATAATAATCGAAGAAACATATTTAGAAGAAGTTTATACACCTGAAACATTAACAATAGCAAAAAATGGCTATGCTATAATGGAAATAATAAACCAGACAGACAAAGCTTTAAAAATAACTTTACTAAGACCAATAAACGTATACCCCTTTGAAAACGCAAATTATGAACTATTCAATTTCAATTATTTTAATAAAAAACCTAATGAGAAATGTAATAAGAAAAATAAAATAGACTTAGGAAACCTTATAAGAACAGACCACATGAATTCAGAAGAAAGAGAAAACATAATTAAGCTATGTAGAGAATTTTCAGATATATTCCTAAAAACAGGAGACCCTTGACATTTACTTCCAATGTCAGACACACCATAAAAACTACAGACGAAGTTCCTATACATTGTAGATCTTATAGATATCCTTACTGCCACAAAGAAGAAGTTCGAAGGCAAATTCAAGAAATGTTAGATAAAGGAATCATAAGGTCATCATGTTCACCTTGGAGTTCACCCATATGGATAGTGAATAAGAAACTAGATGCATCAGGCAAGAAAAAATACCGTCTAGTTATAGATTATTGAAAGCTTAATGAGAAAACAATTTCTGATAGATATCCAATTCCACATATTACAGAAATTTTGGATAAGTTAGGAAGAGTCCAATATTTTAGCACATTAGATTTGGCCAGCGGATTTCACCAAATCGAAATGGATCCAAAATCTATAGAGAAAACAGCATTCAACGTAGATAACGGTCACTATGAATTTCTAAGAATGCCTTTTGGTCTCAAAAATTCGCCGTCAACATTCCAACGGGTAATGGACGAAGTACTAAAAGATTTGCAAAACAAAATATGCATGGTCTATATGGATGATATAATTATATTTAGTACTAGCCTCCAAGAACATATTCAAAACTTAAAACTAGTATTTCATAAACTACGAGAAGCACGTTTAAAAATTCAACTAGATAAATGTGAGTTTCTTCAGAAAGAAGTTGAATTTCTTGGTCACGTTGTTACACCAGAAGGAATTAAACCCAATAAAAACAAAATATTAGCCATACAGAATTTTCCAATTCCAAGAACACAAAAACAAATTAAATCATTTTTAGGTCTTTTAGGATATTATCGCAAATTTATAAAGAACTTCGCTAAAATAACAAAACCGCTAACAATTTGCCTGAAGAAAGACCATAAAATAGAACATACAAAAGAATTTATCGATTGCTTTAATACTTGTAAAAATTTGTTAATATCAGAACCAATTCTGGCCTATCCAAATTTTAACAAAAAATTTGAAATAATGACAGACGCATCCAAATACGCCATTGGAGCAGTATTATCACAGGATGGACATCCTATTTCGTATGCGTCAAGGACATTAAATTCAGCAGAGATAAACTATTCTACTATAGAAAAAGAGTTATTAGCTATAGTATGGAGTTGTAAATACTTTAGACCATACTTATTCGGAAGAGAATTTATAATTTTTACAGATCATAAACCATTGCAATGGTTGTTTTCGTTAAAAGAACCTAATTCACTACTAGTGAGATGGCGGTTACAACTCGAAGAATTTGATTATAAAATTAAATACCAAAAAGGAACCCTTAATAAAGTTGCGGATTGTCTTTCACGAATAGACACCGATAATGAAATAAATGTACTAGAATCTTGTGTAAATCTTGATGACATAGATGAAGTAATACAAAAAGAAATAGAAAACTTATCAGTTCCAAATCAAGAAATTACAGATCAATTGTTTGATCCAAATGACTTTTATCTTCCTGAGTTAAGCAATGAAGAAATTTCTGAAAAATTAGATGACAATAATGATCATTTAATTTTATCACAATACGTGCAGAACCATAAAGAATCTTGCAAAATATTATACGGAAAAATACGAGAACGAAATGCCAACGTAAAATATAAACAGATTGAAAAAAGCAATTTAACAAGGTCAGATCCACACGACTATACAAATGAGAACAAAGCT